TTTTTTTTTTTTTTTTTTTTTTTTTTTGCTAGTTTTAAAAATAGTGATTTTTTGTGAAAATAATGTTTGTAAGTTATTTGTTAAATGTTAAATTATATTCCTAAATTTTGAAATGTTTTCATTTTATCTTTTTAATATTATTTACGGGCATAAAAATTAATTACCTAGATGATTTAACAGAAGAAATAAATTATAAAAATCTTAATCTTTTGTATAATCTTAAATAACATTTTCAATTCGTCATCTTTTATTTTAACAAAAAAAAAATTATAACATAATTTATAAATTTGGAATAAAAATGAAAACAAATCAACTAAAGTTCAAAATATTATGAATAATTTAATATTTATTAAAAGCAATTTTCGTATAATCACTTTAACATTTGCATTTGCATTTCTATTCAATTAAAATTAGTTTTAAATGATGAACATAGGAAAAATAATGCAATTCAAATCGGCCATGTAATTGGATCAAGTAATTATATATAAATTCGTTGGCATAAGTTTAACACAAAAAGTTCATGAAATAAAAGACGCAAGAATTTAAAATTTCCCAATTAATGTCACATAAGACCTTAATATATAAATATATAAATCGCATCATTACATTAAGTTACTCGATAATAAAATAAATAAAAACATAATTGCATTTTGCATAACCTTATGATAATAAGATAAATAAATAAAATTATAACATGCATTTACCCTATTAGCCTAAGCATTTACATTAAACTATGAAATCATAGAACACATCAAAACTATATAATATACACTGCAAGTAACAAAGTTATCGATGTTTGGTAACAGGATGAAACTTATTTCCACCTTTCTTGAGCCATATCGTCGAACGAGTCCTCTTGACATGATCTACAAAAAGACGATGCCTACATAATCATTCAACAATATTATAGGACACGAGTATCAAATGATATTTGATTGCTTTTGGATGTGATCTTCATTTCATCCTTTATTGAGAGTTCATTTGAAATGACTTTCTAATAACATTTTAAATTTATTTTTAAGCACTTCAAAAATTATTTCAAACAAATCCCAAACATTCTATTAGAAAGAAATTTGAGCAGTCAAGATCCATTCGAACTTTCCAAAGACTAATTTGTGTTACGAATCAATGACATAAAAAATCTCGAGCTAATTCAAACTTCAAGAATAAAATTATTTTTATACTAAAACTAAATGACAAAAAATTATGAATTTTATATGAAATTTACTAAATGATAGAAGATCCGACCTTTCAAATTCAAGCCTCTGGGTTACGATCCCATTAAGTAACAACTCAGAACTATATACCGAGACGCCTGCACACAAAATATACATTTTTTAAAAAAAAAGGAAGAAAAATAAATGGTCACATCACGAGTTTCACCCATCTTCTAGTCGTCTAACCACAATTTGTCACGTGACCAACCCTTCTTTCTTCTTTTCAATTTTAATAATTTTATTTAAAATAAAATAATAATAATAATAATAACCCACTAGACTTCATTGATGCTATAAACTATATGAGGAAAGACTTGAACCAACCTTTTTGAAGAAAAGACATGCACAAATTGTAATCTTCTTCGCACGACAAAACCAACAAATCATCTGAAATTTGATCATCCTTCAGCATAGACCTCCCGATTCTTTCAAATGCCTGATAACATCACAGCCAACGTTAGCAAAAGAATGTGTATGAACACATGCAGCGCAGATGAACGACACGTGATGCGTCGAAAAAAAGGGATCAAAATCAAAACATACTTGACCCTTTACTGCCTTGACCAATCTCGAAATGACGTCTTTCCCAGGCTTTGTATTTGGAGTAATCAACACGCGTCGACCCTGTGGAGCTTACCATTGTGAAAACTAGAGAAGGGTAATGGCGGAAAACACTACACGGTTAAACAATGATATCGAAATCACCTCGAGAAGAGGACGCTGGCGAGCACATGCCAAAGAACCTGGCATTCTAAAGCCAAATTCCTTCTCCTTTTTGGCGTCTCGTAGGAGGTAGTTTTTTTCGTCAATGAAGCAGCTTGCCTGTCCACAACTCTCAATCCATAGGTGTGTCACCACAAGCTTACCCAGAGAAATGGCTTCTAACATATTCCTCGTACGTACAAATTTATCGGCAACGAAATGTGTTGCCTCGGTCATGGACGATACCTCAGTAACCCCTAGGCGAGTCGATGTCTAAAAGATCATCAATAATGAGTTATAAGTTGAAATAACCACCAGGTAGAAGGTAAAAGAGTATGAGAACTGAAACTACTACCTTCTTTTGCTGTTTGATTATGTCCTCATCAAGGTGTTGGCTATACAAGACTCGAACCTCATTCATATCTTTTCTCTTCCTCGATTCAGTACGAAATGATCCTGATAGAAAACCGGGAGCTGTTAAATCACGAAGTTCTTTCAAAAGATTTGGTTTCGAGAGGCCCTTTTTGCATGATTGTTTGTAATATTCACTGCCCATACAAACAGGTGATGCAGCATTTATAGGCGTCCTACAGTTATCGGGCGGAGTAGCACAAACTGTGTCGGATGGTTTATGCCTTTTACTCGGAAATGTATCGACCGTAGTGTTTACAATAGAAGAAACCGAACATCCATCGTTTTCTTTCTTTAACTGCTGAACAGAATTTGGCCCGTTAGAATCTTCAATGGACAATCTACCATTGGTTAGTCTTTCCAAGTTCTCATTTAAACGAGGTGATGATCGTGTTTTCTTCATGTTACACGACCTCGTGCGCTTATTCATAGTTCGTCCAAGTAAATCTTCACACAGACTTACGGGACCAACTAACATATCACAAGATTTTTGGTCTCCTATGGAGCGTTTTGCTCGATTTTCAGAGCCTTTCGACTTCGTTTCGAGAATCTCGGATGCAGCCTCTAAAGATTTTGTTCTCTTTGCTTTAGAATCCCGATTGGCTCTATCACCACAACTTTTCTTGATTGATGAACCTACCTTTGTAACCGACCACTCACGTTCACCAGATGTAATCTTAGCCTTTTTCGATTGATTTAGCATCATCGAATTCCTTGTTCGATGTGCAACAGGTGAAACCTCAACGATTTTTCCACGTAAAAGCTGCTTCTGAACCGTGTTACATCCATTAATAGAGTCATGGCCAATTCCATCAGCGTCTCTTTTCTTACTCCACTCCGACAATTTCACAGTCTCGGTTCCACACACGTTCCTGAGAGTTCCAGAAAACTTCTGGTTTCTTTTTTTCGACTGCCTAGGGGCAACCCGAGAACTACAAGCATGTCCCTTAGCAGATCGCCTTGATTTTGAGCTCGAGTCTGCCTTTCTAAAAGGAGAACCTCTGACAGAGTCCTTTGGACTACTATTATGAACTAACTTATGGATACTCTCATCATGGAATAATGCTTCCATTGCCTCAGCTGCCATCTGTGTATCGAAACCCACATTAGAGACTTCTTGTTGATCATCGACGCCATTGTCTTCCAACTCTCCCGAACATGCTTCGCCATCATTCTGCTGATCCAACTTATTGGATAGGTTCTTTTTGCATTTGACGTTGGCGTCTCGGGCTGATTCGTTCTCGTTTCCTTTACTCAACTCTAGACGTGAATCAGAATAAAATAACCTCGATTTCATATTTTTTATACTCAAACATTCTTCCCAGTCACCATTCAAGTCTACTCGTTTTCCTTTCAAATTTCGAGGTTCGGTGAAGAACTCTTCCTTCCTTCTGCAGAAAAGATCTCCACCTCCTTCATCTTCTCGATTATCGTCCCAGTCAAAAACTCTCGATTCTCCAACTGTTCTCATACAATTAACAATGTTAGCCAGATTATATTGTCCTTTTGTGTTAGGAACAGACTTTGGTTGCACCATATCGTCCAATTTACGGGTTCCTCCTCCATGATCAAACTCCATAGAATTATCTTTAAGAAACTTTTCAACAAAATCAAGAGCATTGTCTTGAGTCAAATCCCCTGGTTCTTGAGAGTCGACATAGCTTAACCCTGCCAACTGATCACCATCACATGCAGACAAACGATGCGGGTCAACGTCACTGACACCATGGCTTGTGTCGAGATCTCCTAAATCTCCAACAGGTATATAATCATCAGCAAAAAGCTTTCTCGCTGCTGAACTGCCAGCCCTGCACTTAAGATCGGCCTGCCGCTCAACATGATTATCTTTTAAGGATGATTTTCCTACATCCTTGTCGGTCATAACCGAATGTGTGGGGTTTCTAGTCTGCATGGCAGCTAAACCAGAGGCACGCAATGAGGCCACACGAATCGAAGCTCTGCACTTAATGTTACTTGAATCTCCATCAATCTCACAGAATTGCCCAACATCACTCTGCCAATCAACGTGATAACCTTTTAAGGATGATTTTTCTATACTCTTGTCAATCATAACAGAAGAAGACCAGGGGCTTCTCGTCTTCATGGCAGAACTACGGGCT